GTAGTGGTAGTAGTAGTAGTAGTAGTAGTAGTAGTAGTAGAATGAAGAATGTAGCAAGTAGTATGTAGTATGTAGTATGTAGTATGTAGTATGTAGTATGTAGTATGTAGTATGTAGTATGTAGTAGTAGTAGTAGTAGTAGTAGTAGTAGTAGTCGTAGTAGTAGTAGTAGTAGTAGTAGTAGTAGTACAGTAGTATTACTGATAGGAGTAGTGATAGTAACCCGTAGGAGCATTGGTACTCGCATTCGTATCTGTATTTGGATTTGTTTTGGTCGATACCAGCCACACCCCCTTCCCACCTGCTACTTGGTACCTGCTACTACTACTACTACTACTACTACTACTACTACTACTACCAGTGCTGCTACTACTACTACTCCTCCTCCTCCTGCTGCTGCTGCTGCTACTACTACTAATACAACTACTACTACGCCTTTGCCGATGCCTACGCCTACGACTAGTCGATGACGAAGACGCCTGCTGCTACTACTACGCCGACGACTACAACGACGACGACCACAACAACCACAACAATCACAACGACGACAAGGACAACACCACCAACATCCACCAACAGCAACAACGGCAAAGCGCAGGCAGCAGCCACAACAGCCACAGCTGTCGCAGCATCAAGAACCACATCGGTAGCATCATGTTGCAAGAGCAACATCCTCACCATCCGAGTCGACACCCCAACTGCCCGCCTGGAGTTCGAGTCGGCTCCGTGCTGGAGTCCATCAACACGACAATCCAATGAAGATCCAGAAAGGCTGCGAGATCAAATGGCTCACTTAGAGTTTAAGGTGCCGCATCTACCTCAACAGGTGATTGCTACCACTAGCATTCCTCCAAAAGCAGCACTGTAACGTCGCATTGCAACGTTGAAGAGTTTTTTCGCCACCGCGATCATCTAAGCTGGAGAAAACCCCGCTGGTAAAAAAGAACCTGCAAGAAACCATAGTAGCACCTCCCTCGTTCCCTAAACCCGGATGTGCGCGGCATACCTGGGATATATGACTTGGTCTACTTATCGTTGCACACACCCACAACGCAGAGATGTCATTGATCGAAGCTGAGGCTCCGGACGCGAGAACCGCCTGTCTTCGAGCTCTTCTCGCTCTGCCTGTGGCTCCAAAGGTCCCGTGAGAATATGACACATAGCAGATATTGGCAACAAGGTGGGGGAATGCAGCTGAATCCCTGAGTCTTTCTATCCTGACTGATGAAATTCCAGGCGGAGTCTGTAAAGGGCTCGACCCGCAATTCGGCTCTCCCTCGTGCTAGCGCTACTAATGTAGAAGAGGATCAGTCGTAGGCGCGAGAAGGTGCGGTCAGCACGTGTCTTCGAAGATATGAAACAAGGAGTCTTTCACCGGTCCCTGCCCCAGCTACCTTCGGTGCACTTCCGGTCTTCCTCGTGGGACAGCAACAGTTCCCAAGTTGTGAAGGTCGGGCACTGGCCGTCCGACGCGCGTACTACTGCACAGAAGAGCCCTGCACCTCTGGCATCGCCTTCGCCTCTGTCGGGCGGCATGCGTCAGCCTGCTGCAACGGAGGGACATACACTGAAGGCAGGTCAAGGGAAGGCGATGTGCGCCAGCTTTCGGCTTCAGCTACCGCCCTGGTGGCCTGGCATCTGCAACTAGGCAGAAACCGACTCCCATGAGTGTTTCGACTCCATGCGAGACTCGATGCTTGTGCAGCGCTGACTCGTCAAGTTGAAACCATGCGGTACGCCCTGCACTGTACAGCTTGAAACAGCGTGGTCGCTCCAACCCAGCGCGACATCTTCGCTGCCTGGGTCTGGAACTTCACAATGTTTGAGGTTTGGGCTCTCGCCACCGTCGCGCAACACAGGATCCGGCCTTCTCTCAGGTCGGTCAGAGAGACGTGTGGTCCTTGTAACACCAGCTTGAAGTGACAGTAGTAGGTTTCTGATGGGCTGATGGACGCTCTGCGCAAAGGTTCATAGGTGCGCGGGCCAAGTTCCGGCCCTTCTC